GCAGTGACCAAGACAGTCGGTGCTCACAGCAGCTCCCCAGGGACCCTCTTGAGCGACAGGGTTTGTGGCACTGCTGATAGCAACTCCAGCCACCTCCTAGTGAATACTCGCTGTGGACCAGGCCAATAGTGAGCAGCCTCTTTAAACTCAGCAAGCCTGGGGAGGGGGCCTAGGAGGGCCAGCCTTGGGGCTCAGTGCTGTCTCTTCAGCCTGTAAAGCCTTGGACCTGAGGGTCCACGGTCAGGAGCCACAGGCCCAGGCTCAAATCCTGGCTGCCTGTTACTGCAATAACCAGCCCCCTTGAGCTTCCATGTTCCCACGTCTGTGGTCAGGCCTGTTTTAGGTGCAGGCCTCACAGAGGGACCAGGGTTCAGTGAGCTTAGGGGTATGACGCACATGGCCCACGGACTCCCCATGGTGGCTGCTTTTACTTGAGAGGAGGACCAGAGCAGGTAACCCAGAGCAGCTGGCCTTTAGGTCAGCAGTCCTGTGGCCCAGGACTCCAGGCTGGAGAGCCCCCCGGGGTTGGCCGGAGTGGTCTCACCCCTGGCAGCGCTGCCTTCCTGCAGGAGATCGGACGCATCTCCATTGAGATGAACGGGACCCTGGAGGACCAGCTGAGCCACCTGAAGCAGTACGAGCGCAGCATCGTGGACTATAAGCCCAACCTGGACCTGCTGGAGCAGCAACACCAGCTCATCCAGGAGGCCCTCATCTTCGACAACAAGCACACCAACTACACCATGGAGGTGCGCAGGCCCAGCTGGGCTCCGCCGCTCGCCAGGCTCTCTGGTGGAAATGTTTCTTTGCTATTTAAAATTTGTTAAAGATTAGTTCAGCCCAGCGTGGTGGCGCAAACCCATAATCCCAGCAGCTCGGGAGGCTGAGGCAGGAGGATTATCAGTTCAAAGCCAGCCTCAGCACCAGCAAGGCGCTAAGCAACTCTGTGAGACCCTGTCTCTAAATAAAATACAAAATAGGGCTGGGGACGTGGCTCAGTAGTCAAGTGCCCCTGAGTTCAATTCCGAGTACCAAAAAAAAAAAAGTCCTACCTATACTCCCCCATCACCATGGCAACACCTATCTTGGGTTAGACTCACCCAGGGACCTGGAAGCCTCCCCCAGACCCTGACTATGTGCAAGGGCAGTGTACCAGCATGGTGAGAGTTTTGAAGCTGGTCCCCTTGGTGGCTTGAAATCAACCCTGGTAACATGGTCTCATCATGCTGGTCCACAAATGCCACAAACCACTGTTTCCCATCCCCAGAGCCGAGGTTGAGCACTGGCCAGCCTGCCTCTAAAGAGCTGCCATGTGGATCTTGGCACAGGGTGTCGGGTCCTTGCCCCCTGCCGTGTTCATCCCCGGAGTGAATGAAACCAGTGGTTGGCAGAGGCGGCAGGGAGGCCCCACGCCCCACATGCAGGAGGGTGTGGGGCTAGAGAGGCCCCAAGAGGCCTCAGGGGAGACCCCGACCAGCCACCACACCTGTGCTCATGCCCTGCCCTTGCCCTGCCCCTCCCCAGCACGTGCGCGTGGGCTGGGAGCAGCTGCTCACCACCATCGCCCGCACTATCAACGAGGTGGAGAACCAGATCCTCACCCGGGATGCCAAGGGCATCAGCCAGGAGCAGATGCAAGAATTCCGGGCGTCCTTCAACCACTTCGACAAGGTGGACATCCCCCTGCCGCGGTCCCTCCCTCCCCTGTCACCATCCCGTCTGGCCCCTCCATCTCTGCATCTGTCTGTACCTTCACATCTCTAAGCATCAGCCGCCACTCAGGCCTGGCGGGATCTCAGCCAGTGACCCGGGGGGCGCACACAGGAGAAGGGGGGGGGCACATCCTTGCTGCCTGTGGCTAAAACCTTGCGGCTCAAGAAGTCCCTGCATTCCCAGGATTTAAGACCTGGCCTGGGAATCTGGCCCCCACACACTGTGTCCTTTAGAGGCCCTAAGCACCCAGCCCTGCTGGCTGACGTGCCACCACCTGGCGTCTGTGTGTAGAGTCCAGCCTTAGCGCTGCCCCTCTGGCCCTGGTGGCCCTCTCTCCCAGCCCAAATCACAAAGGCAAGGAGAGCCCCCGCTCCCTCCTGCACCCAGGACTGGGTTCTCATTGTCGCCACTGCCCAGAGGAGGCCAGGAAGGTCCCTGGTTGCCTCAGGCCCCCTGGGCCGAGGCCCCAGCTGGATCCTGCCCCAGCTGTCCCTGGCCATACCCTCATCTGTGTTGCCTCTAACTCTGTTTCCCTTCCCCGTGTGTCCCCCCGCCCTCTGCATGTGCCTGGGTCCCCTCCCACCTCTGCGGCCTGGTCTCCACACCACCCCTCCCGCACTCCCACCTTGGATGGCCCCGGCAGGACCATGGCGGGGCGCTGGGGCCCGAGGAGTTCAAGGCCTGCCTCATCAGCCTGGGCTACGACGTGGAGAACGACCGGCAGGTACGCGCACCCTGGGCCCCGAGGACGGCGATTAACTGCTCTCTCTCTCCTTCTCTCTCCTCCCCTCCCCTCCGCCTCTCCTGCCATCGTGTGTGCCATCTCACGGCTCTCTTGCCACCTCCCTGCCCTCGTGTCTCTCCGACACTTTCCCCCTTACCTGGTCTCTCTGGCCTCCTGTCTCCCCGCTCCTGCCACTGTCCTGTCTGCCCGCTGTGCACATGGGGCGGCCCTTCTTGCCTCCTCTGGGCCTGGCCTCCTCTGCTATGCCTGCGTCCTGGGAGCAGAAGCAGACAGGCAGCATGGACTCCGATGACTTCAGGGCTCTGCTTATCTCCACAGGATACAGCCTGGTATGCAGCCTCTGCCTCCCCTGCCACCGCTCCTCCTCCTCCTCCCGCCCCCTCACGCCTGCAGAGCTTCCATGTCCTCGGGGACACTCCTCCGCCAGGAGGCACAGCCGTCCTGCACTGCTGCGCTTGCTGGGCTGGGGTCCCTCCGATGACTCCCCAGCCCCTCCTCCCCAGAAGTCTCCAGAGACGGGGGGCAGCCCTCCCGCTCTCTCCCTTTTCCTTTCTCTTTCTCTCTTTTCTTTCTTCCCCACCTCCAGAGCTACCTCGTGAGCCTGGGGTGGGGGGCAGTAGACCCTGACTCCCCACATCCTGAGGCCGTGGGGTGGGCAGAGGGGCCACCGAGGCCTGGGCCTGGGCCGCCAGGTGCAAGCTCTGCCTGGCCCACGCCATTAAGGCAGGCTGGACTCCAGCCCTGCTCTCCTGCCCTGCCCCTCAGACCCACGCCACCAGTCCCAGCCCGGTGCCCCTTCCCCACTAAGTGCCATCTGTCACCCGCCCCATCACCTCGCAGGGCGACGCTGAGTTCAACCGCATCATGAGCGTGGTCGACCCCAACCACAGCGGCCTTGTGACCTTCCAAGCCTTCATTGACTTCATGTCAAGGGAGACCACTGACACAGATACCGCTGACCAGGTCATCGCCTCCTTCAAGGTCCTGGCCGGGGACAAGGTGAGCGAGATGCTGAAGGGAACTGGGGCTGGCAGGAGGGTTCCCTGCAGCAGGGATCAAAGCTGGTACTAGGGCACAGGGTGGCTCAGAGTCCTTCCTGCCACCCCCAGAACTTCATCACGGCCGAGGAGCTGCGGAGGGAGCTGCCCCCCGACCAGGCCGAGTACTGCATCGCCCGGATGGCGCCCTACCAGGGCCCCGACGCCGTGCCCGGGGCCCTCGACTACAAGTCCTTCTCCACGGCCCTCTACGGGGAGAGTGACCTGTGAGGCCCTGCCTGGGAACCCCGACGCCCGCTTCGCGGCCTCCCGGAGGGGCCGGGAGCCCCCCTCCCCTGACTCTGTATCTATGCAAAGCACTCTCTGCCGGTCCTTGGGTGGGGTGGGCAGGGAGGGGCTGGGCGGGCTCTGTCCTCTCTCATTGGTTGGCCAGGAGGTCCCCCCATCAGGTGGGGGAAGGGAGACTTTTGGGGTCAGCACCTCTGGTCAGGTAAATATATATTATGTGTTGGTTTTTTTTTAACCTATGTGGAGGGGACAATGGATCCCCACAGCAACACAGGTCCCCTCTGTGCCCTGGGGACACCCCTCCACATCCAGGTCCCTTCCTTTGCCCCTGAGGTCCTTCCAAGGCCTCCCACATCCAGGCCAAAGCCCCATGTGCCTTGTCCAGGAACCGCCCTGCCCTGCAAAGGGTCCAGCAGGGGGCACCACAGCTGCCCAGTGGACCACAGCCCCCCTGCTCCCCGTCCCCGCCATCTGTGATCCCAGGGGCCTGGTCTGGCAGCCCGCCCTCACCCCAGCACCAGCCCAGCCGGCCTTGGCCTTGTTTGGTCTGGTCTCAGATTTTCTAAGGACCAAAACAAAACAAAAAACCCACAAAAACAGAACAATAAAAATTTAAAAATTCACCAAAAAACAAAAAAAAAATTAAAAATAAATTTTAAAAAAACCTAAAAAATTAAAAACTTTCAGAGAATTACTATTTACTTTATTAACTTACGGATTTATTATATAAATATATATTCACCTAGCAACATATCTTTGCCGCCTCTCGCTCTCGTAATGAAGACATAGCTGATTTGCTGCCCTCCCCGGTCCCTCACTGATTTTTCTCCTCGTTTGGGTTGGGCAGGGGTCTCTGGGGGCCTCCTGAGGTGGAGGTGGGCTGCTGGACTGGCTGCCTGGTAGTTGAAGGTCCCCCCACCCCCTTTTGAGTTTATTCTGATTGATTTTTTTTTCTTGGTTTCTGGATAAACCACCCTTTTGGGGACAGGATAATAAAACATGTAATATTTTTAAGGATTCCTCCCGTGTCCTCCTTCCCTCTGCTGTCTCTGTTCTCTCTCAGGAAAGCACAGGAGCCCATGGTCCCCATCCATCCCATCCGGGAGTTAGATAAGAGGATGTCACAGGCCCCTCCGTGCCCAGCACAGAGCCAGGCCCAGTCCACACAGGCTGCCCAGGAGGGGCCTTGCAGACCCGGCTCTGTGTGCAGGCAAGGAGACCGAGGTGCACAGAGGGGCGCTCGGCCAGCCGCTGGTGGCCAGGACTCAGCCATGCTCAGGTGCCACCCAGTGAGGGCGGGTGTCTCCAGGCAGGGGGCAGAGGGCTCGGAGCAGAGGTGGCCTTGCGTCTCCCTGCCTCCAGCAGCCGGTGCTCCTGACCTAACATCCTAGGAGAAGGTGGCCACTTCCATCCACTGGGCAAGAGAAACAAGAGGCAGGCTGGAGGCAGGGTCCTGGGCGGGCACCAGAGCCACCCTGTACCTGAGCCCAGGCCCACCTGTCTGCGGGTCAGACAAACGACCCCCTCGCCCCCATCCAGGTGCTGGCTGCAGTGACCTGTGCAGAGAAGGGCAGGGTGAGCCCCCATCCCAGTCCCCCAGCCACGGGAGGCATTCTCCTTGTGCCCCAAGCAAGGGGCACGGGGTGGCACTCACGGAAGATGCAGGTGAGCTGGGCAGCACAGGACACGAAGCGCTCAAAGTCTACACGCAAACGGCTGTCCCGGTAGCGGCTGGTGAGGGCCTGGGTCAGCTGGTTGTTCAGATGGAAGCCTAGAGGGAGGTGCCCCGTGAGCCCAGCCAAGTCCCGGGAGATGCTGACACCACAGGGCTCCGCTCCCCCTCATTCTGCATGTGGCCTGGGTTCAAGTCCCAGCTGGGGGGCCACAGGCCGCACCTTACACTTCTGAGCCCGTCCCCATCTGTCGAAGGGGTAATGTCACAGTCTGGACCCACACACTAGTGTGAGAATGGAATGGCTTATCATGTTTACTGTGGCAGGCACCTATTATTGTTCCTTTTTTGTTTGTTTGTTTTTTGGTACTGAGGATTGAATTCAGGGGCACTTAACCCTGAGCCACATCCCCATCTCTTTTTATTTTATATTTTGAGAAAGGGTCTCACTAGGGCTGGGTTGTGGCTCAGCCGTGGAGTATTCGCCTAGCATGTGCGAGGCCTTGGGTTCGATCCTCAACACCACATAAAAATAAATAAAGTAAAGGTATGGCGTCCAACTACAACTAAAAACAAATAAATAAATATTTTTTTAAAGGGGGAGTCTCACTAAATGGCTGAGATGGCCTCTAACTTGTAATCCTCCTGCCTCAGCCTCCCGAGTTGCTGGTATTATATGTCTGTGCTTTTTTATTACTGGCTTTTTGTTCCTTTTAAGGGCTGTAATACTTTCTCTCTGCCACTGAGCACTGGAGAATAACTGTATGCAAACATTTTCATCAGTCTGACGCTAGTCGTTTCTCCATGCTCTACATCAGAAGTAGTTTCAAAGTCACCTTTGCTATAGAATCTTAACAGAGCCTTTCAAAAAAACGCCACATGATCCTCCACCCCTCAGACACTCAGGGTTGCCTGATGACCCTCTCCTCCTCCGTCCCCACATGTCCAGGTACACAGTTACCAGGACAATTTCACCAGCTTCCACTGCACCTAACTGCACACTCATCCATTTAACAGGTAGTTATTAGTGGGCACCTGACACGTCTGCAGTCCCATCTCAGGAGGCTGAGGCAGGAGGATTGCAAGTTCAAAGTCAACCTCAGCAATTTAGTGATTCCCTAAGCAACTTAGTGAGATCCTATCTCTAGATAGATAGATAGATAAATAGATAGGGTTGGGGATGTGGCTCAGTGGTTAAGCAGCCCTGGATTCAATCCCTGCTGCCAAAAAGAAAAAAAAAGAGCCCTCCCCAGGCATCTATCAAGTGCATTTCTGTAGTGCTAGGCTGAGCTGAGTCTCCGGTCAGGAAAACCTGGCCAGGAAACCTTCCTGGCCGAGTGACCTGCTGTAGGTCTCTGACATGGCATCTGCTCTCAGGTGTTGGGGTGGTGGGTGCTGTGCCCAGGGCAGACAGAAGGCCCTGAGAAAGAGCCAGGGCCCTGCGGTTGCCCTCTGTGTGAATTCCTACTAGAGACACTCTCAAGGTCAGTTTTCTTCTGCCTTGAATAACTCCTGGCAGGTACCCGGTACTTCTGGCAGGTACCAGGTCAACGAACAAACGGTCAGACCTTCCCCCTGTTCTGGGTCATTCTCTCTGTTCCTGTGTCAGACTCAGCGCCCTGGTTCGCAACTTTGGCTCATCTTGTCCTACACATCCCTGAACACTTGGCCCCCCCCTCTGGGTCTCACTCTGTCACTCCCACTGGGTCACAGTCACCCAGCCTACTTTGTGGTGCCAGAAGGGCTGAGGTGTGGCTCAGGAGCCGAGGGTTCCCAGTGCCGACCAGCCCCTCCTTGGTCCTACACAGGAGCCCTCTCCCCCGCTTTTCTAACTTCCACGGGCTCCTGCAGCCACCCTGCGCTAGGCCAGGTCACAGATAGGGACCCAAGGAGAGGGAGTGGCAGCGGACTCCAACCCCAGCTCTCCAGAATCCAGAACACTCCTTCACCCTGCCCGGAAAGCCAGGGCCTCTCAGGCACCAGCTGCCAGTCTTCCCTTCCTGGAGCACCCCTACCCACCTCACCACCTCCCAGGCCACCCCACCCTCCCCCACTACACGGGGGCTCCCTCCCTGCCTTCCCATCTGGCCTTTTCCAGGGTCGCCCAGTCCCTGCCAGGAAATGGCAACAAAGGACTGGTCACAGCTGAGTGGCACCCAGAGCTGAGACTGGTGTAGAAGGAGGAGGGCCAGGCCCTGTCCCCATGGCCACCCCAGGGACCCTGTCCACACCTGCAGCATTCAGCGCCAGCCTCAGCTCGTAGGAGTTCATGGTGCCTGATGAGTCCTCGTCAAACTTGTCAAACGTGGCCTGGGTGGGGAGTGGAGGTCAGTGGTCCCCCACCCCCCGCCCAGGCCCTCGAGCAGTGGCCGAGCATGCTGAAGAGGCTAAACCAGGCCTCCGAGGCCACATAGCCTGGGCTGCAGCTGCTCTCCCGGCCCCAGGCCCAGGCCAGCAGCTTAACCACTCTGTGCCTCCATTTTCCCGTCTGTGACATGGGAACAAAAGCAACTCAAGGGCCTGTGGGGACAAGTCGCGCTTCCACCCACAAAGGCGCAGGGAGGGCTCAGTAAATGGTGACTTATCGCTGTCATCTGTGCAGACATCTTTGATCCCTGCCTCCTCACAGGGGTCTTAGTGGCCAAGTAAGGGCCCTAGGAAGGGAGGGGACTTGGCTGGGGTCACCGCCAGAAAGGGGCTCAGCTGGAAGCTGAGATTTCAACCCAGGACCAGAGACTACTCTCCATCCCTGAGACATTCAGTGCCCCTAGAGCAACCTCAGAGGGATGATGGACCAGCTAGGGACATCCCAGCCAGGTCACTCCAAGTAGATGAAGAGTGGTCCAGTCCCCGCCCATCCCCACCCCATCCCCCTTCTCTGGGCCCTTGATGGCCCACAGGGTGTCTGTGCAGAGAGAGGCTGCCCTGCAGGCCCCCCCCCAACTTACCTGCCACACCAGCAGGTGGCTCCAGAGCTGCTGGAAGTGGTGCAGGGCCAAACTTGGCCCGTGCTGTGGATGGGGGAGTCTGGTTAAGATCAATGTCTCCAGAAAAAAAGAGAGACCCCCAACATCCCCTCATGCACTGCCCCATGTACCCCAAAACACCGCAGCAGCTGCTCACAGGTCCTGACGCCGATCTCTCTAGGGGTCCTGGTGTTGGGCCTGGTGTTGGTCCTGGCTACAAGAAGAAAACTGTCAATCCCTGCATGCCAGCCATCATGAGCACTCTGTGGGACCTAGCTCCCCACAGCAGGCATTTTATACAGACTCAGAGCCTGCAATTGCTCTAACTAGCAGAGCTGGGGTCTGAACCCGGCAGGGAGCGCCAGTCTGCTCACACGTGCCTCAGAGGAGGGGGAGCCAAGTGGCCTTGGCACGGGCTTGCCACAGGATCCACCATGGAGCACGTGCAGGGAGAGGCTGCCAGGTTGAACCAAGGTTCCTGCGGCCTGACCCCCAGCAGCATCATGGATGAGCACACGTGGGGAGCTCTGGGGTCCAGCTCTGAGTTGTATGACCCCTGGCCAGCAGTCCTCCACCCGAACTCACCAGGTTCCAGGGCAATGCTTAGCAAGGTCTGGAGCTGATAGGCATTGAGTTCTTCCTCCTGGTCAGGGAAAGAGTCGCTTGTGAGGCCCTTTGCTCTGGGCCAGGCCCTGAGCTAGGCTGGGCTGGGGATGTGACAGAGACTGGGAGAACCCCAGGCCTGTCCTTTCTCAGGGTTCACCTTTGGGTGACAGGGGCAGCTTCCATAGAAGGGCACTTTGGAAAGTTGAGGCGTGAGGCTGGCAGGAGGTGCAAAGGAAGGAAAATTAGAGGGTACTGCTGAAGGAAGGCTCAAGGCTGGAAGAGGCTTGGACTTCTCCGGAAAAGAAGTTCATGAGAGAGCGCACAGGGGGAGCCGGAGGGAAATCAAAACGAGCCGCCTAGGACGAGGGGGCTGGAGAGCAGGAAATCGGGAGGGACTGCCCCGCAGCCCAGGGCCCCCTCACCTCCCCAGCCAGCTCCAGAAACAGCTGTGCCACCTCCAGCTCCAGGGGCTTGTAGGGGACCTGCGGAACGGGACAGGGGGCGCTTAGTCCTAACCCAAAGCCCATCCCTCCCTCGTCGCCCCCTCCCACAGCAGCCCCTCACCATGAGGGCCTCCAGGTCGGCGCTGATCACGTCATCGATCTCCCTGCAGATTATGGACAGGCAATGTGGAGGGAGGCTGTTCCCCAAGACTGGGATGCGGGGCGTGCGGGGTCCCAGCGGGGTAGGGTGGGGTCTTGGGACCCAAGGCACATCCCCGCCAGGCTGAGGGTCAGGGACTGGGCCGGGGGTAGGTACCGGCCTGGGATCGTGGGGCGGGGCTGGGGCTGGGCGTGGTCCCGAGCGGGAGGGGCGTGGTCCCGAGCGGGAGGGCGTGGTCCCTGGCGGGGCGTGGTCCCGAGCGGGAGGGGCGTGGTCGGGGCGGGGCTCCCCGGCTCACACTGCTGTGTGGCTTCGCTCTGAGAAGATGCGCAGCGTAAAGTCGGCTTCGTCTCCCTCCTGGGAGGCGCTGGGCACCACCAGGTAGTGGCCGGGGCGCAGGCGACAGCGGCGGCTCACGTCGCGACGGGCGCAGAAGACCGAGCGGTCGGCGCGCAGCAGTTTCGGTAGGAGTGCGCGGCTGCGCGGGGAGTCCCAGAGGCCGAGCAGCTGCGGGCAGCGGGGCATGACCACCACCCGCCCGAGCTCCCTCCCCAAGACCTCCCACCCACTGCACCCCAGACCACCTGGCCGAGCCCGCCCGGCCCCCAGACCCCGACTTTTCCCCTCCAGCGCTGGTCGACCCAGCCCCAGGGCTGGTCGAGGGATGGGCGCTGGGCCACATCTGAGACCCACCTCCTCTGGGATCTGTAAGAAGGAAGAGTGTGGCCGCTGGACTCAGCAGCAGCAGGGGGTGCCACTGCTCAGAGCCCCCACCTCCCCTCCAGACCCTTCCCATGTCTTTGGTCCTGGGTCTTTATTGAACCTCTGACCCCGTCCCTGACCCAGGTTCCCTCTGACTCCTTCCCAACCTTCCCTTCCCTTATCTGTGCCCTTTAGTCCCATGTCGGCCCTCTTGGTCCCCCTCCTGGTCCCCAGTCTGTCCCCACCCTGTCCCTTTAGTCTTTCCCAGACACCCTCCCTCAGCTCCCTCTCTCCTCTGACCCATCCCCAGTTCCGTCCGTGCCCCTGCAATACCCCAAGAATCCCCTGCCCTCCATGCCTCAGCTCTGCCAGGGCCTCACCTGGAACACGTGGAAGCCCACAGTGAGATAAGTGAGGCCCTTGGCCCTCAGCTTCCGTCGGTTTCGCTGGATGAGTGACAAGAGGACCGTGCACTTGGGGATGCGGCCCCCCCTCGCTGGGCCCCCTGCCCTGCCTGCCCCCCAGCCTCCCCAGGGTCCCTCCTCATCCTCATCGTCCTCCTCCTCATCGGGCTCCAGCAAGGTCAGCCGGAATTGAGGATTAGTCCAGAAGGTTTCTACCAGAGGAGAGAAAAAAGGGGTTTCCGCCTGGTGCAAGCCCCCACCCCAGCTTGCCTCTCAGGGTCCCCGCTTGGGCCTCACCGGCACTAGGCTGGCTCCCTCCAGAGTTGAAACCTCGTACCCAGCGACCTTGGAAGGTGTGGATGTGCCAGCCACCCCCAGCCGGGTTGGGGCCCAGCACCTCTGGGCTCAGGGAGCAGATCTGGACAGTGTTGAAGTGGCGGAGGAAGTCCTGCAGCTCCATCCTGCACGCGGCAGCAGTCAGAGCCACCCAGGCCACCCCCAGAGTCCCGACCCCAAACAGCTCAAGACCCCAGAGCGACTCCCCCAATCACAAAGCCCTGCAATTCCTTACATACTGCCAGGAACCCCTTGATCTCCAGAAATCGCTGCGCCTCCAGGTCCCCCCATGTCTCCAAGTCCTCAGAAATGCTCCACAAGTAGCCAAGATTCAGAGTCCCCCCAAACATGGTCAAATTGCCTTTACAAAACCCCCAACCATTGAGACCCCCAGACTCCCAATTATCAACAAGTATCCTTCAAATCCTCAATTCTTCCAAAATTCAAGAAATGCCAAATGTCACCTAACCTCCCTAAATACTACCCCATCCCTTCCAAACTCCCCAGAGACGACTTTGCTGCCCCTAAACTTCCAGCTGCGGCTCTCCACACAATTCCCTAAACATCACCTCGACGACTTCTTGGCTTTGCAAAATAGAGCCCGACTCCCAAGTTGCCGCTGAGAATGACGCCGTCTCCCTGTTAGGTCCCATCTCCAAGGACATCTCCCATGTCCCTCCTCACCCTGAGTCCCCAGATTCGGTGCCTCCTAGAGAACTCACCAGAACTCGCCATCCTCCTTCTTCACCAGCAGGGCCTCTCGCCACTCAGCGGGCAGCGCATCCCAGCGTGGGCAGCTGGAGAACGGGGTGTGAGGGGTGGGCAGGCGGGACCCAGCCGCCCACCCACCCCAGGCCCTTCCCACCTGTCACTCCAGGCCCCGGTCCACTCCACACGGCCCCATGGGTTCCGCAGTCGCAGCAGCCTCACTTTGGTGAAGCCCAGGGACATCTAAGGACAGCAGCATTGGTAGGGTGGCACCTGGACACCCCCCTGCCAGCCTACCCGTGGGGGCTGCTCACCTTGTGTGTGCCAGTGACTGAATATGCATGTCCCCTCACCAACCCGTCCTCCGTACGGTACTCGCCCCGATCACTCTGGGAAGGGGACCAGAGACAGTGAGTCTGGGGTCCGGGAGGGCAACTGCTGTCCCCATGCTCCCAACCCCCGCCACCCAAAGCCCAGCACTGAATGGCATGGGGCTCAGAGAGGGCGTTGGAGTTGGGGAGTACAGGAGGGGGAGGGGGAGAGGGAGGGAGATGAACCAGACAAGGCCAGAGGGAAAGAGGCTCCTGAGGCTGGGGAGACTCAGAACAGAGACCAGGAGGGGAGACACGGAGACAGAGGAGCAGGCGCCAAGCAGAGGCTTCACTACACGGCTGAGTGAGTGCGTCCGAGAACCCAGGAATGACTGAGCGCATGGCGGGGTCTCGGTTCCACACACCATGACCCAGGCTAAGCCCAATCCTGGGGCTTCTGCTGAAGTTCTCAAAACTAGTCTTTTTTTCTTCGCCACTGAAGATGGAATGCAGGGCTGCTCTACCACTGCTCTACCACTGAGCCACAACCCCAGCCCTCTTTATTATTATTTTTTGACCTTTTGGGTGGCATGGGATACCCTTTGTACCCCAATGACGAAAAAGCCTACCCAAGTGTGAGACTAACTCCGTTCCAGGATAGAAAAACACGTTTGCAACATCCTCTGAGCACCTAGATCCAGCTGTTCCTGAAGCTTTTAGTTGGAAGAGCAAATAACCTTTCCATCTAACCTTCTCCAGTTGGATGTGTGGGAGAGAATAAGCCAGCAGCAGAAGCTGAGAGGAGGAGGACAGGAAGCTCCCCTCCCGCCGCACCCCGCCTCTGCTCTGGTCCCGACAGGGGTCTGTGTGGGGGAGCAGCTCTCACCAGGGCAGTGGCGCCCACAAGGGACTCCTTGACCAGGGCGTGGCGAAGGGCAGAGAAGAGGCCTGGAGTGTCCTGCCTCAGGTAGAGCACCTCGCCCACGCCGCCCGTGAAGTCCACGAAGGCCTCGTTCATGTGGCCGCCTCGCATCACCTCGTAGGAGCCGTGGAGCCTGTGCGCGGGGGCGGGGCTGAGGATCTCCCACCTGGGGCCTCTGTCCCGGTTGGGGACCCCCAGGGGCATCCCTGAAACTCTCAGATGCTGGAGGTGGGGACCCATGACACTTGCTAGAAACCCTTGGAGCCTGGACAGAGGGCCCTGGGGCCTGCGCTGTGTCCGGTCCTGGGAGTCCAGCCCTGGGTCCAAAGCGTTGAGTTGCTGGGGAGACGTCTGCTTTGGGGGGATCTGCCTGGGCTTGTCAGGCATCCAGAGCCTCGGGGTGGGCGAGTCAGATTCTGGGGGTCCCGGGGTTACATGCACTGTCTTGGAGGTTCTCTAGATGAGCCCCTCGACAGGGGAGGTGGCCTGTGATCACAGGTCCCCAGCGGGGAACAACACAGGATCTGGAGAGCCTGGGGTCTTTCAGGAGATGTCAGGGTCCTTGGGACTTATGTGAGGGGCCGGGGCTGGGGGCCGGGCCAGGGCTCAGCGTGGCGCTCGCCTGGCTCAGATGGGCCCTGGGTTCCGTCCTCAGCGCCCCATAAAAATGAATGAGTGGAACAGAGGCACGGTGTCCACCGGCACCTAAAACACCCACGTGTTTGAGAAAAGAGCTACTGGGTGAAGGGCAGGGCACGGCGCGACAGCAGGGTTCTGGGGTTGTGACCTGGCGCGGGATCCTTGGTGGCATGCCTGGGGGACTCCGGAGGTTGGGGACTCGGGATCCCTGGAACTTGGGGGCCCACGTGGGGTCTGGGGGTCCTCACTTGGCGTAGGCCTTTTCCAGGAGGGGGGCCCAGAACTCATTCCGCTGCTCCGAGCGCACGAACATCAGCTTCCCCTCGCGCACGGGCAGCCTGTCGTCCACCACCACGTCCACCCAGCGGCCAAACTGCCAGAGCTGGCAGGGGAGGGGACACGGCTCCAACCGGGCTCCAACGCCAGTCCTCCCCGGCCCCACCCCTGCCCCTGCTGCCCCAGGCCCAGAGCCCCACAGGGACAGTGTCCACTGTGAAGTCCCTGTCACCACGGGGCGGCAGAGGCCTGCACAGGGGACCTGGCTTCTACCTGGAAGTGGAAGACACCTGCGTAGCCATCTTGGAAGCCCTGTCCAGGGGGGACCACGCGGCACAGGAGTCGGGGGTGCAGAGTGAGGGCGGCGGCGGCCGCCAGGAGCCAGCAGTTACCTGGGGGGAGGCTGGGTGAGGAGGAAGGAGGGCACAGGCCGAGGGGAGGGAGAGCGGGACGGGAGGCAAGGACAGGGCCTGGACGGGGGTCTCACCCAGGCTCCCCTGACACACGTCCGTGCGGCTCATGTCTTCACAGATGAACTGGGGCTCGGCGCAGAACTCCTGGGGGGAGGCCAGACCTCAGCCCCGGAGGGAGGGAGAGCGGGGCGCTCGGGTGCTGCGTCCCCTCCTGCTCCAGGGTAACGGGGTCTTTGACCAGGACCACCCAGCAGGTCCCCGAGCCGGGCTCAGCCTCCCTGGGCCTCCCTGAGTCCTGGATGGCTGGACCTGCTCTGAGACCCAGGGGTCCAGGGCCCAGTCCTCCTCCCTCAGACTCCAGCCTCCTCCCTCAGACCCCAGCCTCTTCCCTCAGACCCCAGCCTCCT